TTTCCCAGTAGTATTAACAGGGTGCTGGATCAGAAGTGGAGTAACCAGGACTGGCTACTCAGAATCATAATTAAAATGTATAAATTACTTATTCTTAGAGTGGTCTATTTAGTTTGTTTGGATCATGGTTGACTGAATCTGCAGAAAGCAAAACCATGGGTGAGGGGGACTACTGTCATATTTGAAGATGAAGTCTCCCACTCAACATGGAACATTCCTCTATTTTAAAGGAGATATCACATGTTTTCTGCTGAAGGAGTTGGCTAGTTTCTCTCCTGGGTTCTGTCCAGGACCGTGTTTTCTGTCTGGTGCCCAGGCTGTGTGTTTGGTTTTGAAATGGATGATCTGTGTCAATCCCCTCAGCTTTATACTTCAGCTCAGCTTTGCAGGGTGTCTGGTGACCATGCCCACAGAATCTGCATTTGTGTAATTCAGCATAAATTTATCTTACAGTTTCATGGGTTCTAATTTGTCATCTGGATGGAAGATTTTTGTCATAACAAGAAATAAAGTAACACTCCAAATTGGTCGGCTGGCCTCATCATCAACATCCTCCAAATAAAAATACAGTCACAGTTTTTGGTCTCAGAGTCTGTTACCTAGCTCACCACCAATACTTTAGAAACGAGGAGATGAGAGGGAGCTTGAGAGGGAGCTAGGGGAATATGTCTTGTCAGTATGCACTTCTCTTCATTGGAAAATTACCTGCACCATAGCTAATAATTGATTGATCTCTCAGCTACTGCTCAGACAAATCCACAGTCTACTGGTTGCCCAACAGAGTGTGATACTAAGGAGCTCCTGGCCACAGAATACAGACATCATGCACACCTCTGAGCTCTGTCCTTGCAGAACACGTGCTATTTGTTGGTCATGGAAGAAAGCAATTGGAAGAGTGAAGTTTGCTCAGTTCTTTCCAGCTATTGCTATTTCAAAAATAACCCGAAACTTGTCTTAGTAGAAGGGAGCCATTTGCAGAAGTGTTTTTAGGGAGGCAAAGTAATATAAAGTTGGAATTCCTGAGCCGGTCGTCGTCTTCCTCAAACCCAGCATGTTCATTACTGCTTCTCTGCTTTCTACCACTCCTTAGTCCTACCTCCCTTTAACCCCGTTTTTCTTATCTATCAGACCTATTTTCTCTTTTTTCCCCAGAAAACTTTTACTTAAGGTATACAAACTTCATGCATTTCATAAATACAGCTTTAGGAATGTAGTGATTCTTCCTACCCTTCCTGCCCTCCCATCTGCACTCCCACCCTTATTTTTCCTCCCTCTCCTATTCTCATTTTTATTTTTTATTAAGATATACTTTCTATTATACATCTTTATACATATAAGATTAATTTTTTACTAAGTAAAGAGTTTAACAAATAGTATGAAGAAAAAAACTATTCCTCAACAGTCAAGACAATGGCTGTTTAAAAGTATCGCATCTCAAAGTGTCAGTTTCACTTCTATATGTTTTTAGATGCTGTATATGAAATTTGTCCTTTTGGGACTGGCTTATTTCACTAAGTATGATGTTTTCCAATTGCATCCATTTTGTTGCAAAGGAATGGATTTTTTTAACCACTGTGTAGTATTCCATGGTGTGTCTAAATATAATTTCTTTATCCAGTCTTCAGTTGATGAACTTTGGTTGATTCCATATCTTAGCTATCATGAATTGAGCTTCAATAAGCGTGGGGGAACAGATAACTCTTTCATATGCTGACTTCATTTCCCTTGGGTAAATTCCTAGGAATAGGATAGCTGGGTCATATGGTAGGTCTATATTCAGATTTCTGAGGTATCTCCATACTGTTTTCCACAGTGGCTGGGCCAGTTTACACTCTTGACAACAATGGATTAGGGTACCTTTTTCCCCACATCCTTGCCAGCATTTGTTGTTTGTTAATCTCTGTGTGAAAGCCACCCCACTGAAGCCATTCTACTGGGGGTGAAGTGAAACCTCGTTGTGGTTTTGATTTGCATTTCCCTTATGGCTAGTGATCCTGAGCATATTTTCATGTGTCTATTGACCATTTGGATTTCCTCTTTTTAAAAATGTCTGTTTAAGTTCTTCGCCCATTTCTTAACTGGGTTGTTTGTTTCATTGTTGTGGAGTTTCTTACCTGTTTATAGATTCTGGATATTAGTCCTTTATCAGTTGCATAATTTGCAAATAATGTCACCCATTCTGTCACTTGGCTCTTCACTTTGCTGAGTGTTTCTTTTACAGTACAGAAGCTTCTCAATTTGATGTAATCCCATTTGTTAATTTTGACTTTGATTGCCTGTGTCTCTGAAATCTTTTATAAGAACTATTTGCCTATGCCAAGTTTCCCAATGTCTTTTAATAATTTGATGATATCATGTCATAGATTTAGGTATTTGATCCATTTTGAGTGGATTTTTGTGTAAGGTGTAAGGTAGGGGTCTTGCTTCATACTTCTGCATGTGGAGATCCAGTTCTCCCAGCACCATTTGTTGAAGAGACTGTCCTTGCTCCAGGAATTGATTTTAGCTCCTTTGTCAAATATAAGTTGGTTGTAGATAACTTGGATTGAATTCTGGAGTTTCTGTTCTGTTCCATTGGTCTACCATCTGTTTCTGTACCAGTACCATGCTGTTTTGATTATAACTGCCCTGTAGTATTTCCTGAAATCTGGTATTGTGATGCCTCTGGCTTTGTTTTTGTTGTATTAGATTGCTTTAGCTATTTGGAGTCTCCTGTGTTTCCATATGAATTTCAGCAGCATCCTTTTTTCTATATTTGAGAAGAATGTCCTTGGTATTTTGATTGGTATTGAATCTGTAAATTGCTTTTGGTATTATGGACATTTTGATGATATTGATTCTTCCAATCCATGAACATGGAAGATTTTTCCATTTGTGTGTGTGTGTGTGTGTGTGTGTGTGTCTTCTATTTCTTTCTTTAATGTTTTGTAGTTCTCATCATAGAGATCTTTGATGCCCTTGGTAAAATTTATTCCAAGGCATTTAATTTTTTTGTAGCTATTGTGAATGGGATTGATCATAGAAGTTCTTTCTCAACCATGGTATTGTCTGTGTATACAAAGGCTATTGATTTTTGTGTGTTGATTTCATATCCTGCTGTTTACCAAACTCTTTTATGAGTTCCAATAGCTTCTTAGTGGAGTCTTTTGAATCCCCTATGTATAGAATCATGTCTCTGCAAATAGATAGTTTGACCTTCTCCTTCCCAATTTCAGACCTATTATCTCTATGTCTCCTTCTGACTTCACAGTGTCTTCACTGATCTTATCCATGGTCTCTTTTCTTGTTTCCTTTTCAGTGTTTGTCTTTTGTGTTTTGCCATGCCTGTGATTGTCTTCTGAGCTGCCAACTATAAAACACCTGCTAGACAAGAAACTTGTCCCTGATCTGTTAGACTGTCAGGTAAAATGCTGGGCATGTGTTTTGGCAGGTACCTAGTAAAGCTATTTTGGATGATAATGTTAACTACATTGTGATTATTGCATAGTGATTAAAATATATATTAGAGCTGATATTGCGTCTCATGTTGAATGGTATTTTTGAAAGTTAGTATTGTGGTTACAGAGCACCAGTGCTCTGTCACAGTGAGTTAAAGCCCTGGCCTGAAGCACCAGTATCCCTCATGGGTGCCGGTTCTAGTCCCCGCTGCTCCTCTTCTGATCAAGCTCTCTGCTATGGCCTGAGAAAGCAGTAGAAGATGGCCCAAGTCCTTGGGCTCCTGCACCCATGTGGGAGACCCAGAAGAAGCTCCTGGTTTCGGATCAGTGCAGCTCTGGCCTTTGCAGCCATCTGGGGAGTGAAGCAGTGGATGGAAGATCTCTCTCTGTCTCTCTGTCTTTCAAATAAGTAAAATAAATCTTAAAAAAAAAGAAAGTTAGTATTTTGTATTTGTCATTGATAGGAATAATGTAATGATACAAATTTCTGGAAGAGGATTTTTATTTATTGTATCTTTCTCTCAAGATGAACAAACGAAATATGCTATAGGAGGCCATTTTGTGCAGTCATGGAAGTCAGTGGAATATTAACTTCCTTGGTGAAATACGACCAGCAGCCCCAGTTTAATGATCCAGATTCACTTGTGAGAGAGGAACTCCCTCCAGCGGCTTAGGACTCTCCCTCCAGGGCCTACCCATCAGCATCATTGTATAGTACAATACTTTGCGAAAATACACCTCACAGTGACACTTCATTGATGCAGATGCTGTTAAGTGTAGGGGAATGCTTTGACTGTGGGTTTTCTCTTTGACACACTTAGACTTAATGCATTTTGAAATTGTGGTTACTTTTCAAAAACCATGATTGACATTTGTATCACTTTTTATCAAGTTCAGATTATTAGAACAAAATTTATAAGATGTATGGAATTTCATGTAATAGCAATTGTTTCTAAATTTAATTTCTGGTAGCTATATTTAAAGCTCTTGGAAAATTAATACAGAATCTCAGAGAATCTGCTATGGTATACCTCCATGTTTTCCTTCTCTTTCCATCGACAGCTCCAGTTTGTATTGTACAGGGTAATAGTGAAGACTTTGAAATCAGATTGACTTTGATTCCCCACTGTCAATTTCGTGCTTATTTCACTTACAGCAAACCTCTGCTCCTCACCTGTAATACAGAAACAGGAACTTCTGCATTCCAAGGTTGAAGTGAGGGTTAAATGACACCATGAACATGCATCTTATCACTCTGCCTGGCACATTGTAGAGCACCTCAGTAAACATTTGCTAGTCTTATACTTATCTCTATACTATTTCTATTTTGGCATGTTGTTTTGTGTATCCTTTTTCCAATATATTTTGGATTTTGTTGAACAATTTCCCAGGATCATCTAAAATCAAACAGGATTTTGTCTGTTGCCTGTGACTAGAACACAAGGGATCACTCAGAGTCATAAGTAGGATTGTCAGAGAAATGGAATGGCACATTTCCTCAGCTGATTCCTAAATGTGTTGCTTCAGTGTTTAAATTACAGTTTTTCTCCCATTGCTTTGTAGCGGAGATAAAAATCTGTTTCAAATACTACCACGGCATTAGTGGAGCCCTGCGGGCCACGACCCCCTGCATCACTGTGAAGAACCCAGCTGTGATGGTGAGTACCCTCCTTACTGGCTGCTTCCTGAGATCCACGTGGGAACAAGTTTCTATTTTTTGCCTGAGCAGCCCTGACAGGATTATGAGGAACAATGAAAAAGGAAATGCATAGCAGTTCGGGCACTGTTTTAAGAAAGGAAATAACTTACAAGGCTGGCATACCTGAATCTGTTTGTAAATCAGCAGAAAAATATGCTTTGGTTTATAGAAGTTCTGTCTATAGTCAGCTCTTCAGGAAACCTGCTCTTAAAGCTAAGAGCCTCATCATGGAAGGTTTGAAGCTTAGTCTGGAAGACTGTTTGGTAGAAATCAGTGGCATTGCATCTTTTGGGAATTTAATTTATGTGAATTCACTGAGTAAAATAGAAAAATAATCCATTTAAATAATGGGAGATTCTACACACGCCAGTCAGTTCAAGGAGGCTTTGACCCAAAGAGAGTGTGAGATAAGAGTCATAAATATGCTGTTTCCTTAGGAGGTGTTGACACTGGATCCCTCTTAAGAATGAATTGGGGTTGAGTGCCTAAAGATATTGCATGTATTTTCAATGGAAATCAGCTTCCTCATCAGGCCTTCAGTTGAAGAAACAAATACCTAATTTAGTTGTAAGGGAAACTGATTGTCCTGGACTTTGGAGGGAAAGTGTGTCCATTTCCAATATAGAACTGGCTTTTCATAATTTTGTAGTTTTTCACTCAGTACAACCACTTTGGACTCTTAACAGTCTCTCAATATGTAACTCCATCATACATGGGTGGTTTGACTCTGAGATGTATAAATCCTAGTAGTTTTTATTGATCATTAATAAAAATGAAGTCATGAAAGTATTGACAGTTGTTTTGGCTCCCATAACAGAAGCTTCACAACATTGTGTGTGTGTGTGTGTGTGTGTGCATGTATATGTATGTGCTAACACAAGTATATTTTTGGAAATAAGCAACAGGCTATGTTGATACTCTCAAATTCAGAAAGTAATTTCTGCACATGACATTTTGAAGGTGTCCAGAAAACATCCTCTGCTGTCTCTGATTGTGCCTCTGTATCAAGCAGTCTTTGCCTAGCAGATATTCATTGAATGCCTGCTAAGTGCTACTCATTGTACCTAACACTGGGAAAGGATGAAAAAATAGAGAAAGAACCCACAGTGTTGCTGTCATTAGTCTAGTGGGGAAGAGTAACCTCAATCAAATTGTGTTTATTTGAGTGATAATTGTACAAGGAGGAGTGTAATGGAGCTAGAAGAATATGGACTAGTAGGGTTTATCCTGATCATGAAAGTTCTGGAAGGCTTTCCTGAGGAAGGTACATATGAGCAACAGTCTGAAGGAAGAATAAAAATTACTTAAGCTCAAAGAAGAAGGACAAGCACTTCAGGCACAGGGGACAATGTATGTTAAATCCTCAGTAATTAACTACTCTGCTCATATTAGAATTGTATATCAGGGATGGGCATTTAGTCTAGTGGTTCAGGTGATTGGTGGGACATCCACATTCCATATCACAGTGCCTGGGTTTGAGTCCCAGATCTGTCTTTGATTCCAGCTTTCTATTATTGCACCCCCTGGGAGGCAGTAGGTGATGGCTACAGTAATTGGGTTCCTGCTATCCACATGGGAGCCCTGGATTGAGTTCCTGGACCTTGGCTTTGTTCTGTCCCAGCTGCAGCTTTATGGGTATTTTGGAAGTGAACCAACAAATACAAGTTCTGTCTGTCTGTCTTTCTGCTTTTTGAATAAATAATTTTAAAAGATTTTTAAAAACTATATTTGAGTTTCCATTATAGCCACCAATAGTATAGAATATTTAAAAAATACTTTGAGGGTCACAAGTAAAATCACCATAGTTGACTATAAAACCTGCCATGTCACATATTAAACACTGGAAAAGACTTTACTCTTGTTAATATTTTCTAAAGATTTACTTATTTGAAAGGCAGAGTGACACACAGAGAGAGGAAGTGAAAAAGAGATTGATTTCCTGTTCCCCAAACGCCTCTAGAGCAGGGGCTTTGGCCAGTCTAAGGCCAAGAGCAAGGAAATACATTCAGATCTCCCACGTGGTGGGAGAGACTCAAGCACTTGAATCACTATCCATTCCCTCCCAGGTGCATTAGCAGGAAGTTGGGTCTAATGGGGATTAGCTGGGACCCAAAGCAGGCACTCCATTGTGGAATGTGAGTGTTCCAAGCAGTGGCTTACCCTGCTCAGCCACAATGCTTGCCTTAACTCTAGTTGATATTCTAAAAAAGGTTACAAAAATAGAATAATGACCTGCTTGTAATAAAACCAACTATTTCAATAACCAGATACCATTAATGGCATAAGTTAATGGTCTGGTGAATATTGATCTCATTGTATTGATTTTGCATTGAGATCACAGTCAAAGCCTGTGGATAGTTTGAAGATAATTAATTTGCTTCACACAGGTTCAGAGCACCATAAAAGCTTCATCAATACAACACTGGCACTCATGAGTATTTTGCTTCAAAGGATAATGTACTTGTTGGTCAATAAGTTTCTGATGGAACTTTAAAAAGTTGGGTCTGAATCCAAAATTGAAAGATTGTACCACATGGACACCTCATTGTAGCAGTCAGCACTGTGTTTCTGTAACAGCACAATGGCCACACATAGATCCATGATGTGTTTAGTTCTTGGGACTGATGAGCAGCACTGATATTCACAAAGCCCACTTAGGATGATTATAACTTGACCAGATACAAAGAGTAGACCTGGAAGAAATCACTGAGAAACTCCTCGGAGAAAAAAAACATGAGCTGACCTCCTAATCATATGGTCTCCTTTCTCACATATCCTTTTACAATGAATCAAGGATTAAAAAAAGATTGTGTCTTCTCTATTATTTGTATTTTGACGTCACTGTCATTCATCAGAGTACACAGTGTTGTGTGTCTCAGCCAGTTGGAACAGGAAATCCCTCGGCTGCAGGAGCAGATTAAGGCTACCATCACTCACCACACATTGTTTCATTGCTAGGTTGACAGCGTTGCTGCTGGGTTTTCCTGGAATGAATCTATGCAGTGAGTTTATTTAAAAACTTCTCTAAACATTGAGTGCAGATGTGTTATTTTCATCAGTGTCCCAGTATTTAGTGGTAAGGTTTGGGCTTTCTTGTAATGAATGGTAAAACTGAATTCTTTGGGTAGTATTTCAGATGAGCATTTTACCAAAGTTGTCATATAGGACACTTATTTTGGTGAATTCTTTGAGAATTGTTTCATACTAGTTTTTTGCCAATCTGAAATTGAATTTACATTTTTCAAAGGAAAATTAAAGGATGCTTGTTTTCTTTCTCATGGTTTCTTATTTTAAATAGATGTTAAATGAGGATAGACCAAGGCGTCTCTTTAGTCTCAGTTAACTCACTTAGCCGAAGTTCTCATAACAGGTAGAGATGTTATGTTCTTAGGAGTGGCACATTTTACTGGGCAGTGTGGTCTGAGAGAATCCATGGTTTTTTGGCTGCCTGAGTGTACCCAGGCACAAAAATAAGAGCAGTTGCTGAGTGTCTGTCTCAGTTGTGGTCTACAATATCTCACTATTCTCCTGGCTCAAGTGTGACGAAAGCAGGGCAGGATGGTTATGGCAATCTCTTGTCTGGTCAATTGCTGCTTCCTCGGCTGTAGTTAATGTGGAAATGCGGAGTCAAAGGAGTACAGTACAATATAATAAATACATGTATTTTTTTGAGAACTGACTCTATGATTATTAAAGATTGGTTTAATGTAGAGAATGAAATAGATACCTGGCCTGGATACCCTCGTAATGTTTCAGATGACATACAGAATGATCAGAAGCAGTTGTCACACAAAATAGTCTTGTCTAAGATACAGAAATTACAGAGACAGCAGTAGAAGTTTGTATTTCAAAATTTGAATGCAATTGCTCTTGTAATTTCTCAACTTTGCCTGGGTTAGTGATAGTTTTTTTCTGTGGATGGTATAATTTTTACTGAAGTATGAGGAGGAGTGCAGCAAAATAAGATGGAAGAAGTGCCCCCAATGCCGTGGTTGGCTCAGTGGGTTAAAGCCTTAGCCTGCAGTGCTAGCATCCCATATGGGCGCTGGTTCAAGTCCTGATTGCTCCATTTCTGATCTAGCTCCTTGCTAATGTGCCTGGGAAAGCAGTGGAGGATGCACCCACGTGAGAGACCCAAAAGAAGCTCTTGGCTCCTGGCTTCGGATTGGCTCACCTCCAGCCATTGTGGCCATCTGGGGAGTGAATCAGCAGATAGAAGACCTCTCTCTCTGTCTCTGTCTCTGTCTCTGTCTCTACCTCTCTCTGTAACTCTGTCTAATAAATAAAAGAAATCTTAAAAAAAAGACACATATGCCCCCAAATTGGAGTACCGGGGTTTGACTTCTAGAACCTGACTCCAGGTTCTGCCAATGCAGACCCTGGGAGACAACAGTGATGCCTCAAATGATTGAGTTCTTGTCACCCACATGGGAGACTGGATTGAAGTCCCAGTTCCCCTTTTCAGCCCCTGCCCAGCCCGAGCTGTTGTAGGCATTGGGGATTAAATCAGCAAGTTGGAGCTTTCTTTCTCTATATCTCCATTTTTGTTTTTCTCTGTGTTCAAATAAATTAGAAAAGGAGACCTCGATACATAATTTGCTCAATTCCAAATATAACAAAAGAAAGTGGGAATTTATAGCCAAGGTGTGGGTATTGGGGGAATGGGGCCATTGGTTGTATAATAAAAGGGTAGTATAATTCTGGCTAAACTAACCTAGTAGAATTCTTCCCATAGGTAGGCCAGCATGCTCATATGTCACCAGGGGGTTCATAGAGGATGAGGAATTTGGTCTAATATCAAGGGTGGTCACATAGTAAGAATAGAGCTCTCTTCAAACTGACTTAGTGGGATTTTGCAGATTACAAGGATGGAGATGGAAGCCTAATGGTGGGCCTCAAGGATCTTGATCAAAGTTTGATCAAGGACAGAATATTTGTCAAGATAGCTTAATCTGAATTTAGGGTTAAAATGTGGTTCCTGCTTCCCAGCTATTCAGAATATTGTTTGTCTTCAATGTTGCATCATAATACTGCAGACTTATTTTTTAACGTATCATATAGTATACCATAAATTTTACATAAATTGATAGAAAGATCTGAATTTGCTATGTGACCTATAAATTGTTGGTTTCAAGTGAGGTATAATTTACTTAAAAGCTTTTAGGAAGTGTTGTCAGTAGACTAGCATTGCAAGTTCTTATTATCCTAATTATTATAGTATGTGTCATGCACCTGCAGCACAACAGAACCAAAATCTGCAGGGGAGGTAGGACACCTATGTGGATAATCAGAAGTATTTGTCAAAGGAGGATTCTTCTGTAGATATACATGAGTCTGATAGAAATCAACCATTTAGTTTATTCTAAGTTTTCTAATAAGTCTGAAGAAGATTGATATTTAGTTCCTGAGGGAATGTTTAAGTACATTTACTATGTATCTCTCAACTGTATTCTTATCCAGGGTTGATTCATTTTCACAGGGAATTTTGAAGCTCCTATCTTTTTTTATATTTTGGATAAAGATCAAATTGAAGTATAACCTTTTATCTTACCCCCAAGAATCTTATTTGTGTCTCTTTTCCAAGATTTAGAAATGAAAAGACATATGCTACAATATAAGCAGACTTTTAAAAGTTCATAGAATATGCATATAATGAAAAAATTATGTATTAATGTCAAAAATTTTACTAAAATAATTATATCTTTTAATTTCCTTTTTCCATGAGCTTTGAAAACTACTCTCAAACATGTTAGATACAAAAATAATTGTATCAGCGACATTCAGTGGCATCCTGCTCCTATGAAACCTCAGACATGTGATTTTTTTTTCTGTTCAGATGGGGGCAGAAGGCATGGAAGGAAGTGCTTCAGGAAACCTGCATTCTCGGAAGCTTGTGAGCTTTACGCTGTCAGGTAAGAAAGCCTTTAAATGCGGCACCCAACCTGAGAGTATGTACTTTCCAAGGTTTGAATGCTCACTTTTTTCCCAAGGACTCTTCTATATGATATGGGAACTAGATGATTTTTTATTTTCTTTTTGGTTATACTTCCAGAAATTCAAGAATACCTTTGACCATGATAACGTTAGATTTTAAATATAAATTTGGAAATTATCCTTCTAAGTTTCTGATGCTTAAAAATTATATAACTATGTATATTTACTTTAGAAACCTGTAATATAACATACGCTAATCCCACTGAGGATCTTTGATAATTGAAAACAATTTATTATGGGCCAGCGCTATGGCATAGTGGGTAAAGCCCATTTTGCAATGCCAGTATCCCATGTGGATGCCGGTTCTAGTCCCACCTGCTCCTCTCCCAATTCAGCTTTCTTCTATGGCCTGGAAAAGCAGAAGATGGCCCAGGTCCTTGGGCCCCTGCACCCATGTGGGAGAACCAGAAGAACCTTCTGGCTCCTGGCTTCAGATTGGCCCATCTCTGGCCATTGCAGCCATCTGGGGGAGTGAACCAGCAGATGAAAGACCTCTCTCTCTCTCTGCCTCTGCCTCTCTGTAACTCTGCCTTTCAAATAAATGATAAATCTTTTAAAAAAGAAAACTGACAATACAGTTATGCTATAGCCAATCTTTTAAAAAAAAAAAAACATATAGTTACCTCAGCTAGACCAAGGAAAAATTTAAAGAGTAGGGGAAAAAGATACTTCTTCTGTAGAGGAACACACATGAAAATTGGAACATGGATAAGACAACTTTTGTTTGTTTTCTGATTAGTCAAATGTTCTAATCACTTGTATGTTTATCATATAATTTAAACACTGCTTTTCGGGTTGTCAGTTGGGACTTAGTACAGTTTGTAAGTTTGATTTAGTTGAAACCAGTAATTAGTTTACAAAGAGTAGAATATTATGAGAGTTTACCATCCAAGGGAAACACAAGTTTCTACTAACAAAATCTTTATGCATGGAATTTACTTGTCTATATACCTATATACAGCCTTGCAATATAAAAATTGTAAAATATGCTTCATACATAGGTCACTGTAACGAAAGTTTGAAAGTCACTGATTTTATTTTATTTTATGTTTTATGAGATGCAATGTTTGTTTAAGTTCTGGTGGATTATTAACACAAAGCCATGACATAAGAACTAACCAAATGAAACATGACTTTGGAAGGAGAACAAGTATAAGAGGCTAGGAAAGTGAGAGAAAGCAAGGGGACTATGTTAGGAATAAAGAAAGAGATCCTAAAGGAAGAAGACATACAGAGATTTAGATTAGTTAAGGAGGTCTAGGGAGGGAGAGAGGGGTTATTCTCCTGTGTGTATCTCCATTATAAGTTATCATAATGTTAAACTGGATGCTCCCTAAGCGGAAGGTCCATGTTTTGATCATCTCTGTGTTCCTCAGAGTTGTTTTTCTAAATTTTTTAAAAAATTTTCTTTAAATTATATGTTTCATGTATTTCATATATACAGATTTAGGAACATAGTGATGCTTTCCCCACCCGACCCTCCCTCCGATTTTAAAAACCGCATTGGCAGTCACAAAGCTAAGAGTATGATAAAAAAAAAATCAGTATTTGAAATGAACTTTTAAAAGAGACATACAAGACAAAGTCTAACAAATACCTGTCACTGTAAGATGTTTTGTTTTCATTTTTCTGTTAGTGTAGTGCTCCCCAAATTTAAATTAGATCCACCTTTTCTGTCTATAAAAATGTGAATGAAAATAGATGTTCCCAATAGAGCAAGTTTCAACATTTCAAGTTTTAAAGACAGACACTTGTACAATACATAATTATCAAACAACAAAAGTGTTTTCGTCAGTTTGTGCTAGTCCGTGGCCTTCCATCTGTATTTGTTTTTGCATCTTCCTTCTCCCCCAATATGAGACTGCTTAATATGGAAACAGTTTTTGCTTTGGTTCTCTGGTGAATTTTTGAAGTTGTACAGTAGTAGATTATGGTTCAAAATTGGCCAATAAATATATTTTCTTCGGTACCCTCAAGATTTAAGAAATATCCAGGCTTTCACAGAGATGCTTAAAGTATCTCTGCCTGTGGTACTTCTCCCCTGCCTCCTTATCTGTTTCCTAAAAGCACTTTGACCGGCAACATTTGCTTTAGACCTTCACAGTCTTGAGGGCCTGCAGGTACTGAAAACCCTGGTTATAGACAGAGAACAATTAATAAACCCCATATTAGCTCAGCACAGTTTGTTTTGGATCATGCCATATATTATAGGGAAAAATTAAATTGAGAAGTAAAAATTTTATATATTTATGGTATAAAACATGATATTTTTTATATAGTATTGGATTCTTAATTTAGAATGATTAATCAATGCTTTTAAGTGGTCCACGTCATTCTGAACTTGAAACTTGTGTTGATTTTGACTTGAGAGGGGATGTTATTAATTCACCATGGGTGAATGACCATCTGGAAGTTAATAATCCTAGGGAATTTTCTAAAAAGTGGTAAATAAACATTGGGACACATACAAATGCTTCTTCAAACACTTTGTCCGGCATCCCACGTCCATTCACATGGAGACTAGTTACCTTAAATCTGTTTCATTTCCTACCATATGGTCAGACAGTTTTGGTTAGTGCAGAATGTTTAAAAATTATGGGAGATGAAAGTAATTATATAGTGTTAACTTTATTTTATTTTAATGTTTATTTATTTATTTTGAAAGTCAGAGTTACACAGAGAGAGGGAGACAAAGAGAGAGGCTCTTCTATCCACTGGTTCACTCCCCGGATGGTTGCAACGGCCAGGGCTGTAGAATGCTGGTGTCTAGGCAGTGGCTTTACCTGCTAACACCACAACGCTGGCCCCTCCCTCTCTATTTATAATCTGGTTGTAGCATATTGACAGTGGATAATATTTTTTGGAGAACATTGAAGCTTTGTAGAATGGCTGCTTACAAATATTCTATTCTTGATTATGGTTAAGTAGAGACCGAGTAATTGAATTCTCTAGCCAAAGTAAAAATTTCATTTTAATATTTTAAACTTCCTCCAAATGTAACTTTAATTAGGATATTTAGTATGTCTTTGGCCTTTGACTGTGAGTATTTCTTTGGCCTAATAGGTGTGTAGATATTTATGGGCAATAAAATATATAGAAGGCAAAAGAGAAGCAATGGCAGAAATGAGATGATAAAGGGAACTGAATAATCAGATTATAAATGATTGATAGTTCATTATATTTGTTAATGATCTTTTGTGCAGTGTTCCATTGTGGAAGAGTTTGCTATCAGAGTTATCTGTTTGTGACAGTTCTCATCACAGTGACTTAACCATCAGGTGGAATACTCTTTGTTCAAAGGAATTTTTGTGTGTAAATGTGAGAGTTTGTGGCAGCAATTTCTGTCCGTATTATTGTTTATTTACTACAGATAAATCCCTTTGGAAGGAGATTGATGTCTAAAGGATATCATTCTGTATTTGAGTCCAAGTCAAGCATAATCAAGAAAGGAATCAAAGGAAATGTGTAAATTCTTTTCCTCTCAAAACTACTTTATGCTAAATAAAACATGTAGCAATATTAAATTGACAATAAAATTCCAGGCTGCATTTAATAATGAGTGTGTAGTTTATAAAGTGTTAGGAGTGGGGACTGGAAGGCTATTGAGATTACAGCAGCCTTTCTGAAGTGCCTGTCTGTTTCCTTACTTTTCCTTTTTCCCCTGGATTTCAGATCAAATACTTTACTATATTTCATGCAGTATTCTTAACACCAGGTCTTCTCCACTGACTATTTCAGTACTGACTGATAGATTAAGCTGTTCCCGTCTCCTTCCAGTTACATGTCGTTAAACAGTCTTAGTCTGTTTTTCTGACATGCATTTAGGCCACCAGTCCTTTTTCGCTTTTAAATTTTTGTTTATTTGAAAGGCAGAGTGACAGAAGAAAAGGGGAGAAACAGAGAGAGTGAGCTCTTCCATCTGCTGAATCCTTCCCATACTTTCTGGAGACTAGGGTTCTATGGGCAACCCAAGACCAATTTTTTTCCTCTTAAGAAAGACCTTTTGTTTCAGAAATGGGCTTGCCTGGTATGACTCTGGTGACCTCCAGTAATTTAGGGTCACTATATAAGGTTTGTTCCCTAGCTGACCTCTGTAATCCAAAGGTCTTTAGAGGTTTGGGATGTGTGTGTGTATGTGTGTGTGTGCGCAGAATTGCTATAAGAACCAAAGTATTTAGGAGCATGCTAGGTTGATCTTAACTTGAAATACATGTAATTTGTTTACCTTAAATTAAAAAAAAGAAGTTATCTAGAAACAATTTCTTCTTCCCACTGGCCACAATCACTTAGTCCATAAGCCTGTCTTATTCAAGCTATATTCTCAGAAAGGCATGATCCAGGGGAGCTAGCCTTTATCTCCGGCATTTTTGTGTCATTTCACCTGACCATTAAAAAAATATTAGTCTCTTACTAAATGGACCTCAGCTAGAATTTTTGTAATGTGAAACAACAAGTGGCGAGTCTAAGGTGAGTTACAGAACCTTCATCAAATATTTAAGTTACTTTGCAGACTCTTGCAAAGGTAATGGCATAATTATTTAAAACAGCAGGCAGAATTCACATTTAAAAATTCTATTCTGGTCTACTCTTTAAATCTAACATTCATCACATTCATGGAATATATATGACATTTTGAATGTGGTACAAATGAATGTGCACTCCAGAGTTTTATCTCCAATTAAGTTTAGTCCAAACTCCTTTTCATGTATATGGGGGTACTTCAAAACATTCGTGGAAAGTTGAATTAAAAGATAGGTTTATTTTGGTGTAAAATGATTGTGAAATCCATGCATGCAGAGGCATCTCCTAAAAATTCATGAATCCCTGCCATATCTCAAGTGTCTTCACTTATCTGAAAACAACCATGGTATGAATGACTGTCCTATTGTTTTACCAAATAATTAATGTTCAGAGCTTCCTTTGTGATTATTTAAGAGCAAATTGTCTTTGAACTGCTAGTTCTAATCTAGTTGTATGCATTCTTCCTTCTACCTTCTGTCCTTCCCTCCTTCCTGTTCTCTCTTTGTGTCTCCCTTCTTCTTTCTACTTTTCCTTCTTTAAAGACCTTAGGGCAGTTGGTCTAAAGAAAGGGATGTTCTTCAATCCTGACCCTTATCTTAAGATGTCCATTCAGCCAGGAAAGAAAAGCAGTTTCCCCACCTGTGCCCACCATGGGCAGGAGAGAAGGTCTACTATCATCAGTAACACCACCAATCCCATTTGGCACCGAGAGGTAAGATGATCCTGAGGAGTCTGTGACTTCACTGCTGGGAAATTGGCAGGACCACCTTTCTTCCTGGGCCCTGCATCATTGAACTATTTATGGGTATGGGCAATATGAGTAAGGTGTCTTAGGGTTATGTTGTACAGAGGAGCCAGGTCTAGGGTGGGACAATCAAGGCTGTCACTGCAGGGGCACAACTTGATGTGCTGCCAAAAGACTAGGAATCAAAATAAGGATCTTTTTAAAAATTTCATTTACTTATTTATTTTTATTTATTTGAAAAATAGAGTTGAAAGAGAGAGAGAGAGAACGGCTGCAACAGCAGGGGCCGGGCTAGGCCAAAGCAAAAGCTTCTTCTAAGTCTCCTACATGGGTGCAAGGGCCAAGTACTTGGGCCACCTCCGTTGCTTTCCCAGGCACATTAGCAGGGAGCTAGATTGGAAGTGGAGGAGCTAGGACTCAAACTGGCACCCATATGTGATACTAGCATTGCAGGTCGAAACTTAACCCATTACGCCACAATACTGGCCCTTTAAATCAGTATGTTAATGCATATTTGAAGAAAATCAAAAGTAATGCAAAGAGTAATGATGAACAAAATTAAAATTTTAAACAAGGACAGAATCAGTGACATTGTTCAATAGAGCCGTTGCAGAGCCTGAATCAAAAGGAAAAATCAGTCATACTGATTATATTTTGGGTATTTTGTTCTAGCATGTATTCATACAGACTAAAGGGATTTCTTTCCTTTTGGTCTTTGGCAAACGTTTTATGGGTTTATAAGTTTTGTTAATTAGATGAGCCATACAAGGTGTTGTCATCCCGAGTGAAACCAGATTGTGTGATTGTGTTGATGATCTTTTAAACTTCCTCACAGCTATATTATGCTACCAGTCATCACAGTGCACCATATTAATGAAGTCAAGCAAAGTTTTTTTTTTTTTTTTTCTCATTAGAACTACAGAAAGTCAAACAAGGAACACCAGGCATCGTTTTTAATTGAGTGACCAAACCATGTGCTCTACCTGCATTTCTCAGGGATCTGAGGCAGGTCTTACCTACTAGCGTTGGCATGTCTCTGGGTCAACTTCTTTTGGCCTAGAACTTCCCCATTAATTAGTTCCTATCCTAAATGCTTAGTGACAACAATATGCCCCAGCAGTTGTAGAAATGTTTCATTGGAGAGAGATATTTCAGAGGATCTAAGACCAACTGGAGAAAAGGTATGGCTGCTTGAGACCTTCTAGCACAGCAAGGTCCTTCTTGGCACTTTGTGTGGTTATCAACTAAGTGGGTGTTGCTTGCATCCTTATAAATGCTCTAAGAATCCAATTGTGATTTCAAAATGGCAGTAACTCTTAAAAGCATACTCCTAAATGTAACAAATTTCCAAGCCTATGAGACATAAAATGTATCTCAGCATGAGCTCCAGCAGACACATAATGGATATGGTCATGAAATGAGTGATAACTTTATTTTTTGAACATTTTATGTTTGCAGATTGTGTACCCACATCCCCAATGCAACCCTGATGGGGAAGCATAAGGGATGAGATTAGCACCTCTCCATTTTGGAGATTAAAAAACCGAGTCTTACTGTGTTTATGTGACTAGCCACTCAAAGGCTAATGTGTGGCTGAATTCACATTTCTTATTCTAGATGGGTGCATGTTCCAATAAGTAGACTGCCAGATTGTATGCCTTTGATGACTTGTAACTGTTATGACTAAATAAACTAACTGGTGCTAAATGTAAAGCTTCCCAGCCCTATTCCCATCACTGCAGTTGCATGGGTGCCGTCAGGGAAGGAGTGGAATGATTTACGTTACATTTCTGACTGTATCATTTACTTATCCCGAGACTCTTCAAAAATTTATTTTTGTAGAGATGAAATAAAGATAATATATGTAAAAGTTTTTGTACCTGAGAAAAGTTACTCATTTAGTATTCTGATTAGTGATCAGCCCAGTTTTCTCCAATGGCATTCTTAAAACAGCAAACCCTGTCTCAACCTCATACTTTGATTTTTCTGTCCCTGAGGAAGTGCCCCTGTGTGCCATTTAAAATTAGGTAAAAGGTCCATTACAATATTGTTTTATTTTAATATTCATTAGAGAAACTGGAATATTCTGCAGATGATCTTACCTTAACCACTAATGGAGGAATATTTTTAACTACACTTTGCAACTTCAAAATCCCAGATTAGGAAATAAAACTTCCATAAATCAAAAATACTGGTTAATCCTAACCCATCCTATAACTAGATGTTAAATATCAAAGCATTAGAATACAGTAAGTTTAGTGAATACTAGAATTGTAGTGTCCATAATTTAATATTTGATAACATCTCTTGAAACTATTAAACCAAGAAAGACTGCAGGGTTGGCTGAGTTTCTTTTGCCATACGATTCTTCACTGTTTCCATAATTCTGAATGCTAATGAGGCCGAGTGAGTAAAGGATTGACAATAGCTGCAGATGCTTGTAGCAGTGTGAACTGGGTGTATCATTAGAATATGACATAGACTTTCCTACAGTAATAAAATGATATAATATTAGTCCTGTTTTGAGCCAACATATTATCTATTTTTGTTTTCAGAAATATTCATTTTTTGCACTGCTTACTGATGTCTTAGAAATTGAAATTAAAGACAAATTTGCCAAGAGCCGTCCCATCATCAAGCGTTTCCTGGGGAAACTAACCATTCCCGTGCAGAGGCTGCTGGAGCGACAAGCCATCGGGTAAGCAGCCCTTACTTTTAGGACTTGCTCAGATTAGTTTGTGCAAGAAGCAACTGAAATGACAGTAGTCCTTGGACTTTTCTGACTGCTAAGAAGTAGTAACATCATTCTTTAATACTCATCCCCTCATTAAAGTGTACTGGACAAAAAGCATTTTGTTTTAATTAAAATGAAATGAATGAATTATTAATAAATTAGTAGTTACCTTTTGGGGATATGTTTACTTTTTCCCAGAGGTACCTCCCAATAGCATTTCAGTGTCAAATCTCAGTGTTCAACTGTTTTTGAGTATAGTGAAATCTTGCTGTAAAACCATCTGCATAGAACAGAATTCTAGTGTCAGTTCTACAGTTATCTTATCTTGATTGATCTCATCCAAAGGACTTTTTTTTTTTTTTTTTGAAAACAGACAAGCTTGTTTAGGGACCTTTTAAAATAAGACCTAGACAATGACGTGATATTAATAGTCAAGCCCCTAGACATTAACATTCTATTCAGGCAACTAGAATTAATTCACTGAATTTTAAAATGTGATTCGATGTCAGCTTTCTTTCTGTGAGCATTTTCCCAAGTTGTGAATAAAGTAGTTAAGAAATCATGACTGCCTCCATCCCTTATTATAAATGTTACATGTGTTTTTACATAGTAAATACCAGCAAACTCAGGAACAGGACTGCCTTAAGGTAGCACTAGGAGACATCTTATGTTGTATCTTCTCGTTGTAGAACATTATGAACATATGGCAATAGTAGTGGTACTAGGAGCAGCAGCAGCAGTAACAGTAGTAGCAATAGCAGCATTAGCCTTAGTAGCAGTACTGTGAGTACTAGCAGCAGTAGTATTGCTACTAGTGTTAGTAATGATAATCACCTATGATCCTAGGGGCTTACCCTATGTCAAGAGGCGTGTGCATTATACTCATAAGCTCAACATCTTTCAGAGGTACACAGTGTATTAATACCCATTTCAGAGATGAGGCATCTGAGACTAGCGAGCAAGTGGTAGAGCTAGGATTTGAGCACATTGGTGCGTTCTAGAACCCTGGATTTTCTGCAACACCTTAAGGACTGACATACTCTAGCAACCTGTGAAAGGTTGACCATTTCTAATTACACTGCAGATGATGAACTGTTTACCTCTGACAAGTCACGATTTTCTTGATAATTAGTTTCCTCATCTGAATAATAATGTGTTCAGACAAGATGATATCTAAGACCCTTTCAAAATCTGAAAGATATTCTAATGGATTCTAATTCTCTGGCTGTCTTAGGCAATGGATTTTGTGGTTGAGCAGCTCATGTGTACTAGAAATATTATAGTGTAATTCTAGCAGCTTGGTTTATCTGGTAAAATCTGGGAAATTATAATTATTTTAAGAATAGTGATTATAGGTTCTACTAGAAATAATACAAGAGGTCTTTAAAAAGTTCATGGAAAGCAGTTTATAAAAACTGTGCATGAATTTCAAAAATGTTTGCACCAAAATAAATTTATCTTTTAATTCCATTACCATGAACTTTTTGAAGTTCCCTCATCTACACTTAAAATTATATATATAGAAAGTGTTTTAAGATTGTATTTAGCCGGCGCCGTGGCTCACTAGGCTAATCCTCTGCCTTGTAGCACCAGCACACTGGGTTCTAGTCCCGGTCGGGGCGCCGGATTCTGTCCCGGTTGCCCCTCTTCCAGGCCAGCTCTCTGCTGTGGCCAGGGAGTGCAGTGGAGGATGGCCCAAGTGCTTGGGCCTTGCACCCATGGGAGACCAGGAGAAGCACCTGGCTGCTGCCATCGGATAAGCGTGGTGTGCTGGCCGCAGCGCACTGGCCGCGGTGGCCATTGGAGGGTGAACCAATGGCAAAGAAAGACCTTTCTCTCTGTCTCTCTCTCTCACTGTCCACTCTGCCTGTCAAAAAATAAATAAATAAAAATAAATAAATAAAAATAAATAAAAGATTGTATTTACAGGCCGGTGCCGTGGCTCAATAGGCTAATCCTCCACCTGTGGCGCCGGCACACTGGGTTCTAGTCCTGGTCGGAGCGCTGGATTCTGTCCCGGTTGCTCCTCTTACAGTCCAGCTCTCTGCTGTGGCCCGGGAAGGCAGTGGAGGATGGCCAGGGTCCTTGGGCCCTGCGCCCACATGGGAGACCAGGAGGAAGCACCTGGCTCCTGGCTTCAGATCAGCACGGTGCGCCAGCTGCAGCGCGGTGCGCCAGCTGCAGCGCGCCGGCCGCAGCAGCCATTGTGGGGTGAACCAACGGAAAAGGAAGACCTTTCTCTCTGTCTCTCTCTCTCACTGTCCACTCTGCCTGTCAAAAAACTAAAAAAAAAAAAAAAAAAAAAAAAAAAAAGGTTGTATTTACAGAACGTAAAAGAATTTGGAGTATGAATTAACTACAGTAGATATCACATGAAGAAACTTTAAAAAGGTTCATGGAAAATGGAATTAAAAGATAATGTGCAATTTTCCATACACTTTTGATGACTCCCTCATATGTCATTCACTGAATATATATAATTATAATTTACATGATATATTCAGAAAGGTGTTATTTTTTGTATATCAATAAAAATGATCAAGGAAAAACAAAACAGTGGTTGAAATAATTGATTAATTTGCTGACTTTATTTAGTCTTGTAAAGAACTGAGCACCCTGAGAATGCCAGTCCTGGATTCCATGTATATTGAAAGGAAGTCCAGCGTTTGTAAAATATCAGAATTTTGAGATATTTCTCTATAAAGTTAGAGCCTTGCCTGATACAGTGATTTGCTTTATTAAAAATAAGAATGATAGCACATATTAGCATGTCAGCTGTTAGCATTCAGATGTATTAGCATATTTCTGACCTGATTGTGCCTTTCCATTAAGTCCTTGATATATCTTTCTTTTTAAGTATTTATTTATTTATTTATTTGAGAGGCAAAGTCACAGACAGAGAAAGGGAAAGACTGAAAGAGGTCTTCCATCCACTGGTTCACTCCTCAAGTGACTACAACCACCAGATATGGGCCAATCGGAAGCCAGGAGCCAGGAACTTCTTCTGGGTCCCTATGTGGGGGCAGCGGCCCAAGCAGTTAGGCCATTTTCCACTGCTCTCTCAGGCCATAGCAGAGAGCTGGATGGGAAGTAGAGCAGCCACGCAAACAGGTGCCTATATGGGATGCCAGTGTTGCAGGTAGAGACTTAGTCTACTATGCCACAGTGTCGGCCCCATCATTGATATATCTTGAAAAATGCTGCACTTTGATATGACTGCAACTCTGAGATAGTTGAAGTCTTATAAGATGGAGTTTTACAGTACAAGCTAGAACTCCTTACTAATTACTTATTTCAAGCATGTCTTTGAATGTGACATTTTTGATAGCATGGTCTGTGTTCTCTCAAAAAAGCACTTCGGTTTCCCATGCTCTGTCACTTCCTCTCATTACATTAGTGAGAGAATGCCTCAGCTGGTGAAAGTTTTGTGGCATTTATATTTAACAATAACATGTCACAGTAATGGATAATATATCCTCCTTAATGACGTATCACAGCAGGAGGCAGGATGAGTCAGGATGACAGTGGGCAAGAACAGACTAGCAGCTGAATACCCTGACTGGCCCTTAGCATGAGATGAAACTCTGGGCTTAGAATCTATGGTAAATAGAGGAGATTGCCTGTATGTATAGCTTGAATGGCTACGCTGAGTATCTTGTCAGTGAACATCTCTGAAACCAGTTAAAATTCTTGTTTCCAGACAATCTTGTTTGTTAATTAATTATTATGTATATATTAGGTACCTACTAAATGTCAAGCATTGTGTTGTGAATTGAAGATGAGATAGTGAGCAAAAATGATAGATATAATTCTTTCCTTAGAGTTCTTATGAAATACTCACTTCCCTGGCTAAAATCCATCACTTCTATAATCTTTATCATTAAAACCACCACTAGGCCGGCGCCGCAGCTCAATAGGCTAATCCTCCACCTGCGGCACTGGCAAACCGGGTTCTAGTCCTGGTTGGGGCACCAGATTCTGTCCCGTTTGCCCCTCTTCCAGGCCAGCTCTCTGCTGTGGCCCGGGAAGGCAGTGGAGGATGGCCCAAGTCCTTGGGTCCTGCACCCGCATGGGAGACCAGGAGAAGCACCTGGCTCCTGGCTTTGGATCAGCGTGGTGCGCTGGCCGCAATGCGCCAGCCATAGCGGCCACTTGGGGGGTGAACCAACGGCAAAAGGAAGACCTTTCTCTCTGTCTCTCTCTCTCTCACTGTCCACTCTGCCTGTCAAAACAAAACAAAACAAAACACCACTTTGCTTAGATTGGCCAGGGAAGAGGGAAAGAGTTTTTTCTTTCCCCACAAAGAAATGAGGATTTTATTATTAAAGAACTGAATGTCCAAAGAGATGGGAGAGGCCCAACAATGTCAAGAGCAGTTCCATATAATTTGTTGCTAGGCAGATGCACTAATGGACAAATATCAAGCATCAAGCATCCCTGTGTGTCAGGCACTAACTGCTGGAAATACAGTGGTGAGTAGGAGAAAGATATGCTTGCCATTAGACTGATCACAGCTATTACATGATGTTACAGGAGCACTCTAATGTAAGAACAGTTAACATATCTGAGATGCCTAACAGTTACAAATACCTGTGTATCCCATTGTAGAAGAATTTCTCTTAAAGCACTCCTCTAAGTTGAATAAGCATTTTGATAGCAATTGTGATGGTAAGGTGGCCCATAAATAAGTCTGTCATTAAAATACATGCTATGGAAAGCGTGAGAATGACTGAGAATATACATCGAATGAGATCATGATACAGTGACTGCAGAACAGGAGCTTCTGTGCCAGAGGAACCTGTGTTTAATCCCCACCTGTGACTTAATAGTTGTCTGGCCTCTTGAGCGAGTTACTTATCCTCCCCATGTCTTATTTCTCTCCTCTAAAAAACAGGGCCGACACTTGCAGAGCTGTTAGGAGCGTGAAGAGAGGTGATGCATGCAAAGCTTTTGTCAGAGTGTGCCTGGTACATATTAGGCAATTACCGTGACAGCATGAAGCATTTTAAAAAGCATCAGTCAAGGAAAACCTATTATAGCATCAGAATGGAGTAGAAAAAGAAAAGGGTAAAGAAATTAATCTCCTGCAAAATAAATGAATAAATAAAATTTTAGAAAGAAAAAAATCACATTGTTCTGTGAAATTCTTGCTATGAAGTCAGAGGAATTCACAAGAGGTGAACTGGAATTTTACATTAGTGTGGAATTTTACTGAGGAGCTCAGAACAAAAAAAAATTATGTAAACTAATAATAAATAGCTGACTTAGAGGTGCTTAGTTGTACAATAATGAACACTTCAGGCAGAGGCATTGTGTTTTCCTTCTGAAATAACCAGCAGAGGGCAGTGTGAGAGCAGAGATGGTGTGCTTTTGTTCTTATCCTTTTGATTATTCTTCTTAATGAAGAATAAGCCTTTTGATTCCAAGTAAGTGTTATTTGCATTCAAGAAAAATGAATTGCACTTGACCCTGATAAACAGGCACAGCCTTGAAAGGGATATGCAGCTCCATTCTTGTGGAGGATGGAAGTCCAAGTCTGGGACCAAGGTGGATCAAAAACTAGGCAGGCCCAGTGTGGTCCCTTCTAGCACAGTTCTAGGAATTAGGCATGACCTCACCCCAGAGGCACATCCAGCTAGACCATCTTAGCATCTCTCACAAGACACCCATGAATCCCTGATAGGCCAGGCTCCCCAACAGTAAGGGCCAACAGGCCCAGCCTTGCAGGCAAGGAAGGCGAGATCAGCTGGAGCTGCTACCCGGCTAGGGCTGGATGTTGTGTTCTTGTGCTGCTGTCTCCTAACTCAGCTCTTGGTCCTCTGGAACACTATAGTAAAGAGCCTTCTGTGCTGTCAGGTGTAAGTTCTTAGCTGAGAGGTGAGAGAAAGAAATCAGCATCTTTTATAGAGAATCTTAAAATAATACTGTGTTATATTTTCTGATGTTACTAATAATTTTCCTTATAACAACAATTTCCTCTTGTCCTTGGGTTTATAAGTGTATTTATGCAAATGAATAACATTACATTGGACTATATGTATCTTGAGTATCTTATTTCTCTTTACTTATGAGTCTGAAGGTTTTAAAAGAAATCAGCGGGATTTGGGAATGGTCTGTGGGAAGACAGTGACGTCAGTGTAATAAGGATGAAAGAACCGTCTCTCCTCTTACAGAGATCAAATGCTCAGCTACAACCTTGGCAGGAGGCTTCCAGCTGACCACGTGAGTGGGTACCTCCAGTTTAAAGTAGAGGTTACGTCTTCTGTTCATGAAGGTGAGTCTGTATAGAGAGGGAAAAGTTGCTAACTAATTCAATTGTAAGTTCACGTTTGAGTAAAGTTGAATTTGTGTCCTGTTGTCAGAATAAAATAGCTGTCACATAATTACAAAGTTCTTGAAGCAGTTAGGAAAGCCTGCTGATCAAAATCTGTCTCTTAGGTTTGTATCTGCCTTTTGAAACTAAGCTATAGAATTTCCAACAGGACCAACATGCATCCTTCATATGCCAAACTGACCGTCCATATCCTCCTTTGATATTGAGCAGCCATTCTCAGCAAGGCAGCCATCCTGCCAAGAGGCCTCTATGCGAAGATGAGATAGTTGGGACTGATGGATGGCAAAGCAATAGGTCATTACGTGGTGATTCAGTATTTCTAGTTCGTTTTCATAAAAGCTCTTGTCTCGTGCAGATGCTTCTCCAGAAGCCGTTGGCACAATACTGGGAGTCAATACTGTAAACGGAGACCTGGGGAGCCCTTCAGATGACGAGGACATGCCCGGGAGCCCGATTTGTGCTAATGGGCCGGTTTCCGAGGAAAGTGCTGCCGACGGGACCCCCAAGCATTCTTTCAGGACTAGCTCCACTCTGGAAATAGACACAGAGGAACTCACCTCCACTTCCTCCCGGACCTCACCTCCCCGTGGACGCCAGGATTCACTCAATGATTACTTAGATGCTCTGGAGCACAATGGCCCTTCCAGGTCCGGGGCGGCCGCTTGCTCCGAGAGGCCCATGGGAGCCTCTCCCAAACTAAGGAGTAGTTTTCCCACCGACACGAGACTCAATGCAATGCTTCACATCGATTCAGATGAAGAGGACCACGAGTTCCAGCAGGACCTGGGTTACCCATCGTCCTTGGAGGAGGAAGGGGGGCTGATTATGTTCAGCAGGGCATCGAGAGCAGATGACGGGAGCCTGGCATCCCAGACAAAGCCAGAGGACACCCCGGTTGAGAATGGGGAAGCCTCTGTGCAGGACGCTTCTTCTTTGGAGGAGAAGCCAGAAAATCCTCCAGAGCTTGCAGACAGCACCTCGGCCCCAGGCCCTGCCCCAGAGGAAAGTGAAACTGGCCCAGAGCCTCTACCCGGTGCTGACCATGGCAGCTCCGAACTGTGTGGCTCTCAGGAGGTAGACCAGCCCACAAGTGGGGCAGACACAGGGACTTCTGACACATCCGGGGGTAGCCGAAGAGCCATCAGTGAGACTGAGTCCCTCGACCAGGGCTCTGAGCCTTCCCAGGTGTCCTCTGAAACAGAACCCAGTGACCCTGCCCGGACAGAGAGTGTGAGCGAAGCCAGCACCAGGCCCGAGGGCGAGAGTGACCTGGAAGGCGCGGACAGCTCCTGCAATGAGAGCGTGACCACACAGCTGTCCTCGGTGGAGACACGGTGCTCCTCTCAGGAGAGCGCACGGTATCCTGAAACTCCGGCTTTTTCTTCTCAGGAGGAGGAAGACGGAGCCTGTGCCGTGGAGCCCACCAGCAGCGGCCCTGCCGAAGGGTCGCAGGATTCCATATGCACACCTGTTCCTTTACCTGTGGTTCAGGTGCCTGGTGGGGAAGAGGAAGGACCAGGGGCAGAATCTGCCACGTCACCTGCCCAGGAGGAGCTGGGGGAGGTCTGGCAGCGGAGGGAGAGCCTGGAAGGAGCCGCTGCAGGTGCTGAGAGCCAACCGCAAGGAGAGGACGATGCTGGGGATGCCCACAGCACTTGCGAAGGGGCCACTGCCCAGGAGGAGGGTGCTACTGGAGGTAGGAGTTCGTGGTTTTTCTCTCAATTTAAGTTACACTGCAGGCTGCAAGACTGAAGTTCCTCACCTCAGCAAAGGGGGAGCTAGATGGGTTGGAGGCAAGATGGAAAACAGGGCCAGGAAGAAAAGCAAACGGGTAACAAATATGTGGACACCTGAAACTCTTCCTGTAGATCAGACCTCTATCAGAGCTGGGGAAACCAAGGGACTTAATTCATTGCATAGCTGGGAAGAAGACTGTGTGATTTGCATCCAGGTAGGATCAAGTTCAAGTTCAGTAGGTTTTATTTATTTATTTATTTTTTACAAAAAAAAAAAAAAAGGATCCTTGTATTGTTGAGATAAGAGGCTATAAAACAGCATGCTGCCCTCAAACTTAAATCAGGAAGCTCCAGGGGGACCTGGGTTCGCAGATACAAAATCAAAGAGGCTGGCAACTTCACCATTCATGTTATCTGCAGAGGTTACCAGGAGCATCATACATCACACCTCTTTCATAACATGCAAACCGAGTTAATAGGTGCTTTGCAACAAAGGTAATTATCTGTCTTCAACAGTGGAAGAAATGTCAACTTAATTAGGTGCAACATTCTGACACTTGAAAACTAAGCTGTTTTAGCAGTCAGAGAATGTAAATCTACAGGACACATTTGTATTATAGCTCAATGAATGTGGGTTTCTAGAATTTCCTTTAAAAATCCTTTTATAGATGCAGTACAAAGAGTACTTTTATGACTAAGTGACATAGAAATAGGAATGATTTTCTTATTCTGTAATTTATTTTTCTATCTAAATTATCTTTTTCTTCCTCTCTCTTTTTGTTTTGTTTTTGTTTCTTTCATTATCTTGTGGCCAATATGTGACCCTGAAGTATCCGTGGTGCGTGACTAGGACAAGGGCCAGGGAGGGCAAGGGAGGGAAAAGAGGCGGGGAGCAGAGGGCTGCATGCTGGGGACATTCTCCAGGAAGTCCTCTTTGAAGCATTTACCTCCTGTTTATTTTCTTGTTTCTGAGACCTCATGTGGGAAATGAGGCTACAGGGAGCAGAGACTACCCTCAGGATGTGTTAGGTATTTTTTTTTCCACAAAGGCTTTTTTGACCCTGAAAGGGAAAGCAATCCCCCAATAACACTTTACCTTTAATCCTAGGTTCTCAAGCCAACGGCCACCAGCCCTTGCGGTCACTACCTTCAGTGCGCCAGGATGTTAGCCGGTACCAGAGGGTGGATGAGGCTCTCCCACCAAGTGAGCATCCGTTAAGTAAAGGGTCCACCTTAATTACAGGGTAAAGGGCTGATGAACACACATTCCACAGACCTTAAAAAAATGGATCCATGGGTACTCAAGAGGAAGCTGGGGGCCACTTGATGGAATGAGTGTAATTTGGATTTTTGGGGGCCACTTGATGGAATGGTGTATTTGTAATTTTGATAGAAAGTGCTATGCCAATGATTCCTCTCTGGCATTATTCCACTGCATGAAAGGGCAGAAGAAAAAAAAAAAGTAAATACTGTACTCCCACAGAGTAAATACTATAATCGTGGAAGTAGATCCAGGTATTCTGGGCAATTGGGTACATAATAGAATTTTTTAAAATTATACCTAACAACAGCATGAAATTCAGTTTGTAGACAAATTGGTACAATCTCTTAGAAAAACCTCATTCTGTATAATACCCTGCCTCTTTTGGTCTCACATCATTTTAAGTCATTCACAACAAGGTTCTGAATTTTTTCTTTGGGGTATTCAAGAAAGTATCATTAATTTCAGAAATTATTCCACTGTGTGTTTGAGACATAACAATTATCTGGGGATTTGAAAGACTTTTATTTTATTTCTTGCACTTTCAGAAAGCATTTCATAGCTAAAGAAAACATGGTTGAGGATTATGGGTTCTAAGGGAACCAGTTACACAACTGTTATTCAGAGGTGTAAGTGATACCCATGGCCAGTCAGAATCTGGGTGAAATCTAAACAGAGTTAAATCTGTTTAATGAATCCCCTAAAGTGATGTTGCTGTGTGAGCGTGGTGGTGAGTTACTGTAACACTCTGTGGATACCTCTTTCAGGGAACACTGGATGGTTCCTTCTCCCTGGGCTTTCTCTTCTTATCCATCCTCTCCTCTTACCCATTGTATCTGTGGTCGTGGCAAGAGACTCTTTGCCCCTTTGTTTTGTCACAAGGGTGTTATGAAATGAGGAGAGGGTATGTATTTAAAGGACTAAAATCCCCAAGTGGTTAGTTTTGTTAAGTGCTGACCAAAAGAGTCCAATGGTTACATGTAGAGTTTGTCAGAATATTGGCTTGAGCCTTTTGGAATCCTCTTGTGTATAGCTCCTTCCCATATACATGGATTGGAAAACTGAAGGCTGTTAGAGGAAACATATTTTGGCAGTTAAAAAACATAGACCAAAGGATTGATTAATCATATGTCATGTTAAGCAGATGGAGGAGGGTAGGGGAGGAAAGCTTCCTTTTTGTTTACCTTTGGAGAAAAGATCAGAGTCAATAAAGAAAAATATTTCTGGAAAAATATAATGAGAGTGAAATGAATTAGGAGCACCAAGAGTTGTGGGAAAGCTTTTTTTTTTTTTTTTCATGTAAACAGGGATCCTCCCTTATCCACAAGGCATATATCCTAGTACCTGCAGTGGATGCTCGAAACTTCAAATAGTACCAACTCCTATATAGACTGAATGCCCTTCACTGTTGTTTGATAGTACCAACAGTTAATATACTTTTCAGATCTACTGCCTAATTTTAGATGATGCTTTGATAATAAAAACATGCAACAAAAACATGCCATGCATTCCCCTGGAATTTTCCTGAGCTGTCCATTTGAACTCATCTAGTCAACACCACTACAGTTATCCCAGGGTCCTGTCAGAGGCTGCTTATCCAGACTGTTTATCCTGAGTTCATTCCTATTTCTAGAGAAATTCCCCTTTCTGTGGAAAAACACATAAACTAGTCCCATATTGTCTCCCATGCACCATATGTGACAATCACACTGGAGTCAATAACAGAAAAATGAAAGTTTTTCAGAAAGGGCTGGACTGGCCACTCTTTCTTTACTTATCTTAATTCTAAAAAGACCAGTATCTCTCATGCTGATGATGGTCTAATAGGATTCAGTCCCCAGGCTGCCTCGAGCCCCCTGCCACACTGATGACCTCTGAATGAGATGGTACTGCAACTCCTTAAGGCACTCAGTTTGTGTGCATGTCCAGTCTGCTTCCCTGGAAGCATCTCAGCAGTGTCATGCCTCCTACAAAGTCTGGAGCTTTCTTATTTTCTATGAGTCATCAAAACATCTCTCAACCAGTGGTTGAAGTTGCACAGCCCACAAAGCTCACAGGGCATTGTTCATGGCCCAAGGCAAGAGTAAGATTTTTGAGAACCAGTGAGTAGATCCCCATAGCAGCTGAGCAGTCTTAACTTCCAGGTTGAGGATCTGTTGCCTGATCCTGAGGAAGGCAGAATAAGACTGGAAGCAGCTGCAAAGAAACAAAGAAAAAGCATGAAATAAAAACAGCTTCACCAGATGCAGAAACTCATTTGCCACCGTTGGGCTGGTTCTGTGGCTTAGTGGGCTGAGCCTCCACCTTTGGTACCTGCATCCCGTATGGGTGCTGGTTCGTGTCCCAGCTGCTCCTCCTCTGATACAGCTTTCTGTTTATGGCCTGGAAAATAGTGCAAGATGGCTCAAGTGCTTGGGCCCCTGCGCCCACGTGGGAGATCCTGAGGAAGCTCCTGGCTCCTGGCTTCGGATCAGCCCAGCTCCAGCCATTGCAGCCATTTGAGCAGTGAGCCAGCAGATGGAAGACCTCTCTCTCTGTCTCTCCCTCTCGCTGTCTGTAACTCTACCTCTCAGATAAATAAATAAAAATCTTTAAAAAGAAAAGACAAGAAAAAAACCTAGGAAGATAATAAATTTAAAAAAAAATTGCCATTCTGTCATATAGACACCACGTGATCTACTGTGAGACTGAAGCAGCACCACACAGGACATCACTGAGTCCCCTTTGTTCATTGTTTAGACCTTCAGAGAGAAGCCTAAGTTTGCTGGATTGCTCTGCGTAAATGCACATACAGAGAAAACTCAAAAAGCAACAATGGTAATAACAAAAAGTAAAGAAAAACAGTTGGGTATAGGAGCCGTCCAAGCTCATGTTGCCCTGTTTTAGGAGCGAGTCCTGCAGGTGTAGGGAGAGTGACCTGCACAGAGGAAGAGGCTTTCAGTCTGATCCAGACAGAGCAGAGCAAACCTGGCTAAGCCGCAGGATGGTGGCTCACAAGGTCACTGTAGCCACCTACCTCTCTTGCACTTGAGGAGCCTCCTCACCTGTCCCCGAGGAAGAGGGAGAGACATCTGAGCACTCCTTGAACTTTCCTGGGCCTCAAAGCACTACAACAACGTCTCTACCACTATATTTAGGGATAAAGGCTCTTATTCTCTAAAATTTAAAATTTAGTTTTGATGGAAAACTTGATATTTTTAGTTTTAAAAAGCCACTTTCTTAAAAAATCAAAGCATTAGGGACAAAATATGCAACTATTTGAATTTTGTAAACTTTAATTCAAATATAAGAAATGCAGAAAATAGCCCCTTAATGGAGCCAGCATTGTAGAGCATTGAGAAAAACTCCCATGTGTGACACCAGTATCCCATGTTGGAGTCCCACTTCAAGTTCTGGCTACTTCACTTCTGATCCAGCTTCCTGCTAATGCACCTGGAAAAGTAGCAGAAGATGGCCAATTACTTAAATCCCTGCCAACCCATGTCAGATACTTGGATGGAGTTCTTGGATCTTGGCTTTGGCCTGGCCCAGCCCTGGCTGTTGTGGCCATTTGGGGAGTGAACTATGGGATGGAAGATTCATCTCTCTCTCTCTCTCTGTGTGTATGTGTGTGTGTGTGTGTCCACCTTTCAAATCAATAAAATGAATAAATCTTAGAAATAAAGAGCACCTTCAGCCTGCTGAGTTCTTTCCAACTGAACACATCTAGGCAGCTCACATCATGTCATTAGCCCCTTAGCAGTCTTGATGCCCCTGCCAATCACCACCTCTACCCCCAATGGGAAGGAGGCCTGCTACCTTGACTACCAAAATCATACATAATGGAATCACAATGCCTTGAGTGCTAAAATAAGAAAAAAAAAATCATGGAAACACTGCCTTCTGTTGCCTATTACAAAGTTTTTATATATTTATTTATTTTCTACAGTGCCTTTAAGTCATTATAACTTCACCTTCTTGTCATTTTGGTTATTGTCATGTTTATAGTGTATTTACAAATGCGTGTCACTGCAGTCAGGTACTTGGTTATGAATCAATTATAAGGAATTCAGGTCCCCTCTCCATCCCTTCCCCCTTGATTCACATAGACAGTGCAGTGTTGGATTCTCCAATATGTAATTCTTTTTTTTCAGTCATTGGTCTCTAACTCAGCCCTCCTTGAGATGTGTTCATGTCTCATCTGATCTCCAGCTGGCTGGTCCAGCTTTGAAGGGAGTGGGGAAAGAGAAGTGATGAGGTGAGCAGAGGGATCGTAGGACAACTTGCTCACATACATTGATTCTAAAAACTGAGAACTTTAAGACTTTCCCTTCCCTACCTTCCTCTGTGTCCTGCCTGGTGTATCAGTTCTGTGACAATGGCCTTGGAGTAGTCTTAACATGCTTTCTAACTTGGACTTCCCCTTATTGTCTGCCTATTTAAAGTTACCTGTTTATATTTAAGTCTCAGAGCATCTAAGAGTCTACTTATTCCTGGATGCCAGTTTGGAATATTTAGATTAAGTTTAGTTTCCTATGTATTCACACTTCATGACCTCTGAGAAAGCTAATGTTTGCTCATTGGGTTTGTCTAGAAAATTAGTGGCTATCTTAAGTTCTTACCAATTTTTGTCAGTGCTTCTCAAATTTGCTATATCTAGGGATCAACTGGGACGTTGATAACTAAATGTCCCCCTTTAGAGTCCCCCCCTTTGTTTTTGAAGATCTGGCATGTATCCTAGAAATTGGCATTTTTGTTGAGTTTCAAAATAATTATGGTACATGTTGTCAGAGAGTCTCACCTGCTATTTCTCCAGCTAATAGTTTACAAGCATTATTACTGTCCTAAAGTTTGTGATGCAAATGGAATCTTATGTGGGACACTAGTATTCATAAGAGATAATATCAGAGCTGCCATGGCCACATGGGGTCAGTAAGTGGTTAACAGGGCCTACTCCTAAGGAAACTCAGAGCCCCAGACCCTGTAAGGCTTAATTAATTAGAGTTCAGTTGATTAATTGTAGCTTATGTATGAAATGATGCTAAGATGTTGCTTTGTCCTTACTGAGTCTAATATAGTAAAATGGGCATCTTTATATAGAATTTTAGGAGTGGAATGGAGTTTAGTTGAATTCTGTCCTCTAATGTTTAAAGACTGCTATCCAAAGAGCTGCAGTGACTTTTTGCAGATTGTGTGACAAGGCATGGCCAGAAATCAGGTCTCTCAATTTAGTGCACTGCACCCCTCTCCCCCAATACATTGCTGAGTCTTAAAAGCTTATCATATGGGGGCCGGTGCTGTGTGCAGCCGGTTAATGCCCTGGCCTCAAGTCCCAGCTGCTCCACTTCCGATCCAGCTCTCTGCAAGGGCCTGGGAAAGCAGTAGAAGACGGCCCAAGTCCTTGGGCCCTTGCACCCGCATGGGAGACCCGGAAGAAGCTCCTGGGTCCTGGCTTCAGAACAGTGCAGCTCCAGCCATTGCTGCCAACTGGGGAGTGAACTATCAGATGGAAGCACTCTCCCTCTCTCCCTCTCTCCCTCTCCTCTCTCTGTGTAACTCTGACTTTCAAATAAATAAATAAATCTTAAAAAAAAGTTTATCGTACAGTGTACCCTGTTTTACAGTGCAACAAGACAAGACGTAAATGTTAAGCTCCCAGTCTTCTAATTCTGATTATTTGATTTTAGCTTTGTATATCTCCAAGAAATGTTGATGCTCTGAAAAGAATTCTGGTATGCTTTCTCAAACCAAAATCAAACCAGGTCCAAATAAAGACATAAGATGTTAGGGCAGTTTTACATTTTTCAGAGTAACTGTGGTAGATATGACAAAGAGCTAACATTTCTTCAGGTAACCCTCCTGCCATTGGATGGAAGGGTATTGACCACTTGGGTAGGATTGCATATGTAGCTCATAAATAAGCCGGCAGCATCACAATCTTTGCAGAGCCAATGCCAAGTATCCACTTGAAATCAGACGTTTATAATTTCTGTTAATGGAACCTAAGTAACAATGTCACTTAGATGAGACAGTATTTGGCAGAGGTGATCTTGATGCACAATCAACATTTCATGTTAATAGCAAATTGGTGGTCCTTGTTTTCTTATTCTCTCCATGGACCATTCAAATACCTTTATTAAGCTATAAATTAAGGTTATTCCTGGCCTTTGTGCAAGGTGAATATAAGAATCATTCTTTTTCTGGCTTTATGTCATTTTAAATCACGCATTCGTGTGTGTGTGTGTGTATACACACACAATGTGCAAGACACAGTGGTGAATATATTTTGAGATCTTTCTCTTGACCTGCTCAGATTGCTACCCATTTAGCCCTCAGATTGGCCACATACCCATCTCATGTGGTAAATTCTTATTTAGTTAGTTCCAGAAAAATGTTCTGTCTTTGAAGATATATTTTTTTAACTTTCTTTTGTAAGAAAATGGAAAGTATGCAACAATGTGTTTTCTTTTCTGCCTCAACTGCCAAAAAACTTAGGGCCAAATTTTAGTAATAACCTTTCTCAGAGCTTGGCAGCGTGTACTCTTTCTGTTTCCTTTAGTTGATCTCTGCTCATTTCTTAGCCCTAATTGATCTATTCTACAGGTTGAGGGTTGTGAGCTATGTAAACATTCATAGGGGAAGGAATCGCCATTTATGTTTATGTGCACTTGATTTTTTTAAAAAGAAGTATTTATTTATTTATTTATTTTAAAGGTTCATTTTATTTACTTGAAAGAGTTACAGAGAGAGAGAGAGAAAGAGAGAGAGAGGTCTTCCATCCAGTGGCTCATTCCCCAAATAATCGAAATGGCCAGAGCTTAGCTGATCTGAAGCCAGGAGCCAGGAGCTTCTTCCAGATCTCCCATGTGGGTGCAGGGGCCCAGGAACTTGGGCCATCTTCTGCTTTCCCGGGCCCTTGCAGAGAGCTGGATCGGAAGTGGAGCAGCTGGGTACCCATGTGGGATGCCCGCACTGCAGGCTGGGCTTAACCCCATAGGCCGCAGTGCCAGCCCCTGTGTATTTGATTTGACATGTAGTGTGTGCTTGAATTATCCTGGTTGTAATGAGGGAAGAATGAACAGGGGGTTCTCAAAATCTCTGAGATGGGAAAGCATTCAAGGAACAGAACAAAAAAGTGGACTACATCAAAGCGTTTTGGAAAATGTTTCTGAAGATGTTTTCACGTGCTTCCTGTCTGTCAGGCTGAGCATAATGCCTTTCAGAAATCCCCTGTTGATAGGGCTGTAGGTGTGTCCAAAGAATTCAGATTTGGCAGGCTAGTTTATTATGAGTCTGGATTATTTTGGAGCATGAGTGGCATTGATTTATTGTCTCTGTGGTGCTTTTCTTCAGTCCAGTTTTTCTCTTGCCATTTCTTATAAATTCCAATGTACTGAGATCAGCACAAGATATCTTTCCACTCCTGTTGAGGGTGGCAGCCCTCCATGGCGGTCTAGTGCAGGCTGGGATCTACTACACAGGTCTTTCCAACCCTAAGGCCTTTGTTGGACTTGCTGTGTTCACTCCAGAACAAATGCCATTTGGTGGTCAGGAGAAAATGCATATGGCTTCCCTTGGTTTTCAGGATTAGACCCATGGTGTTAATCATAAGCCATGTGATTATATGGAGAATAATTGATCTGGCATAACTGACCTACTCAGGAGAAAGAGCTTATTAATTTCAAATAATTTACATGGAAATATATACATATAAAGTGCTTTGCTGAGTAAAGAATAGAATTCTGATGCTTTCCTATTTTTTGTATAAATTACTCTTGCCAACTGTAACAAGTTTCATAATTTTGCCTTTTGAAAATATCAACTCATGCTACGTAGATTTTACTGGGATATGGCCTTTTAGAGCATTATAAAAGTGGGTGTCTGGCTCCAAAGACAGGACTGCTTTCTATTTTTCACTGAGCATACACTAGGCATTTACTTACAAAGATGAACACACTTAATCAGTGCAATTGCCTAAACTAAACAGCCTTACAAAGCTTTGTATTTATTGTATTTATTGGAGATTGGAGGCCAAGAAGCCCTGAAAAAATGTATTCATCTTTGAGAAGGCACAAATTGAAGTATGTAGATAATGATACTGTTTGATTGCTAAGCTAGCATTAATTACTTTTCTTTTGAAGACTAAATTTACTACAGTTGTATGTAAATATGCACAAAGAAGTTTCCAGCTTTGAGTCTTTCATGTAAGCTAAAAAAAAAAGTAGAGAAAAATTATTTTTGGAGAAAATAAGCATCAATACCAACTTTGATATGGCTATCTGAAGTGTTGTGATCCTAGTTGTGATCCCAGAACACACGTTTCTAGAATACTGGGTGACGGTGAGCACTGTGGGAAGATTAGAAAGATTCTTTACCTTTAGAGACTCCTCAGAGATTGGTGTTAACACACACAGGATAGGCTTAATAACTGCTCACAACAAAGTGTAGAGTGGACTGGGGAAAAGTGCTGGATTATGTTGTGAGGTGTATATTATTAGCCCCAAATTATAGCATGGCAGAGAGAAAAAAACATGTGCTGAACTTACTGAACCACATTAATGGTGTCAGCTCCTCCTCCTCACCCCTCTCTCGGTGCCTCACTGCTGTTTAGACTGGGAGGCTCGCATCGACAGCCATGGCAGGATCTTCTATGTGGATCATGTCAACAGGACCACGACGTGGCAGCGGCCCACGGCTCCCCCGGCCCCACAGGTGCTGCAGAGATCCAACTCCATCCAGCAAATGGAGCAGCTGAACCGGCGGTGAGAGGAGCACTTTTGCTATTCCTGTTCCATTGTATGGCTGGGCTTTAGGAAGCAGAAGACACAGCCGCTGCTTTCATCTTTGGGTGTTCTGTCATCAAGGTGTAGGTGTTAGTTCTTTTGAAGTCTTTTCGTGGACTTGAAGTGCTTAAAAAAATCACATACATACACACCTTGCTTGGAAACTAGAGAGGAAATAAATGACCCTCTTAATCAATCCAAGGCACTGATTTTTAGCAAAGCACAATATATACATTTACAATTTGAAATCAAATACCTTTTCTGATCTCTAGAATCTCCATTTCTGACGCATCTTTCATACCAGCCCGAGGTTTTTAAATCATTCTTTTTGCAAAAACTAATTGCTATGGAACATAAAAGTCATTCCTTTCTTTAACACTGTAAAAATTTAGTTTTTTTTTTCTATTAAGAGCCATAGTTTTTTTTTTTTTTGAAAAAAATTTTTTTGTCATTTTCTCAGGAAAATGTTCCACAAATAATGAACAGAAGAAATCTAGTGCAATGTAATGTACTTAACCAACAGATGGCCTATAAAGTCTGGGAATGGAGGTTTGAGGAGGAAACAGTTGAGGCTGAGAGTGAAAATGTGTGGGAAGTTTGTGCCCTGGGGGAACAATTGAATCCTGCCTTTCTGAAGCTGCTGGACTGTAACTCTAGACTTATGATTTTAGCTATCAGAGTATCCGCAGAACCATGACTAACGAGAGGCCTGAGGAAAATACCAACGCTATCGATGGGGCAGGGGAGGAGGCAGACTTTCACCAAGCCAGTGCAGGTAAGAGGCTTTGATTTTGTGTACTTTTAGAAGCTCATAAAAGTAGAAAAGATGAGTAAGGATTTCTATGAAATAAGGCTTTGCTTGAATAAAATTTGATCTTCAAAACATAGAATTCATCAGAAACCTTTTCTAATCTTCAATCTTTCATTAGTACTAAGAAAAGTACCCCAAATCAAGTAACCTGTAAACTGGGGCTAGTGTTGTGGTGCGGTGGGTTAAGCTGCTGCTTCGCATATCAGCATGCCGGCTTAAGTCCTGGCTACTCGGCTTCCAATCTAGCTGCCTGCTGATATCCCTGGGAAGGCAGCATAAGACAGCACAACTGCTTGGGCTCCCGCTATCCATGTGGGATTCCTGGACAGATTTCTTGACTCCTGGCTTCAGCCTGGCTCAGCTATGGCTAGTGTGGCCATTTGGGGAGCAAACCAACAGATGGAAGCTCTCTCTTTGTGCCTCTCCCTCTCTTTCTTCATTCTACCTTTCAAATAAACAAAGAAATCTTAAGATATATAAGCTACCTTAACCTCTGGATCTCAGGGAGAGCAGAATTGGATTATTTTTTAAAAATCTAAGGATGTATTAAAATGTTAATAATGAATAGACATTTAATTCCATTTTAGTGTGCTTAAGAACAATTGGGTTTTATGTGTGAATTTACAGCAAAGAAAAAAATATGGGGGATTACAATAATAGCAAATGATATTGATATTCTCTGGCTCTTTTAAAATAGAGACTGAAATGAATAGATGTTTCCAGCTTGCAGGGAGCACTCGCTAAATGCCTCTGTGGTCTGTCTGTGCAGATTTCCGACGGGAGAACGTCTTGCCCCACTCTACCTCGAGATCCAGGCTCACGTTACTGTTACAGTCTCCCCCTGTGAAGTTCCTCATCAGCCCAGAGTTCTTCACCGTGCTGCATTCTAACCCTGTGAGTAGCAAATCTGAAAGCACACGAGGGGCAAACAAATGATCCTTGTTCATGTAATAATATAAGAAGGGAAATAGCTAATGTTTCCTGAGCACCCACTGTGCACCAGACCCTGTGTTATGTGCTCTGTGTTCTAATCCACTTCATCCAAACAAACTGTCCTAGGTTGTCAGGCTTCTATAGCAAAGATACCATAGTCCTGGAGGCTGAAACACAACAGAACTTAATTTTTCACAGTTCTGGGGGCTGGGAAGCCCAAGATCAAGGTACTGGCAGATTTGGTCTCTGATAAGGGCCCACTTCTTGGTTCATGGATGGCACCTTCTCACTTTAGACTCACAGAGTGGAAGGGTTGAGGAATCTCTCTCAGGTCTCTTTTATAAAAGCACTAATTCCAGGAGATGAATAAGGAGCCCTCATGCCGTAGTCACTTCTTAAATCACCTCCTTCCCTCTCCTCCCTCACTCCTAATACCGTCACACTAGTGAGTTAAGATTCAGCATGAATTTTAGGGGATGTACACCAGCAGACCATGGCAGTTGGATTGCCCCCACAGTGTCTAAAGGCAGATGAAGTAACTTGCAGGATGTGTTAATAAGAGGAGGGTTGACTTAGCCGAACATGGAATAATTTAGAAGGAGGGAGACATTGGCCATGGAAGTCAAGCTGTATATAATCCATTCATCATGGCATGTATTGAGCCTGGACTAGGAGCTAAGGAAGCAGAGAAAAGGGATCCAACATCAGAGGCATGACAGGCTAAGAGTTAGCAAGATTTGGTCGCTAAGTAGAAGAGAAACTGAAGATGAGTGTTAATACATAAATAATAAACAACAATATCTAAGTAACAGGCCATTTAGAATGAGGAACTTGTTAAAGGAATGAAAAGGGAACATACTGAATTGAACAAAATGATTTACACACCTTGGGAAAAACAGAGTAGATCATAGGAAAAATTGGAAGTCAGCACAGTTTTATTACCAGGAGTTGTCAGTGAGGTCATTAGTATGTACATATTTATTGATGTTGATCTATTTCTGTCTCACTTCATTAGCTTTGCTTTTTAAGTATAAGCACCAGTTTTCTGTAATCATCATTATCTCCTAGTTTACAGATTTAACTTGGAACAGTCAAGATTTGGGAGAAGGTTGACCAATGGTTTTATATACTAGCTGTCCTTACCCATCAAGCAAGAGGGTTAGACTTACTATGCATTCAATTTAGCAATAGTTTATTGATTTTGTATTATGTAACAGGCACTGAGCTAAGTACTAGGGATACAAAAGTTCTAACAGTGGAGGGCCCTGGAATGCCAGACTTGACAACATGTTACAGTACCATGCCCTGAGATATGAGTACAATAGCTCAAGACTCTAGAAGACACACTGATGGGGTGATGACTAAATCTGAGGGGAAGCACATGGAAGGAGACAAACTTCTTTAAAGGGCCAAGTAGAGAGTAGATATTTTAGGCTTTTGGACCAAGAATAATATGTAAACAAATGGACCTGTCTTCCAAGGAAGCTTTGTTTAAAAACACAGACAGCGCATGACCTAGACAGCCCACAAAACAATAAACCAAGCCCTACTTTGCATCAACTGTTTTTTGTAGCATTGACCAATTGCAAGCTGCCAGTGAAATCACTTAGCACAAGTTCTGGTTTCTCTATTCAGGCTGCCTTGTAAGGCCCTTTTCAGTGCAATGTTAGGCTAGATAACCAGTCATTGGGTTAGGGTATAAGGCTGTGGTTTTAAATTTTGGTATACTTAAAAATAAGTGGATATTTTTTGTTCCTTAAAGATTCTGATTTATTAGGTCTAGAGTGGGTCCAAGGACCCTAGATGTTTCCTTTCAAGCCTCATACATAGTTCTGGTGCAATTAGAAGAATTCCTTGTAATTTGGGATCTCCTAGTGTAGAGAGATGTTAAATTAAGTGACTTCACCAATTTTGTCACAATTATAATTCATGTGGGCTTTTTACAGCTATTTTAACTGTCTGAGAATATGGTTGAGACCTTAAAGATTTTCTTCTTTATTTTATTCTCTTGTTATTATTGTCTTTTCCTTTACCTGGGCATGATTTTAAAATTTCCTCTGGCAGCCCAACTTGGTTTTAAAGTATTCTTTCTGAACATTTAATTTTTTTCTTCTTCAACATTAACTTCAATCATTATTCCCTAAAACAGTGATCCATACTGAACATACTGAACATTTATTGAATTTCTGTAATATTTAAGTTATGTTTAGGAAGACTTATTTCTCTGACATATATGTGTGTGTGTATATATATATATATACACATATATATCAGGAAATAAAGTAGCTATATTTTTCTTGCTAAAAGTCTAAAGGTATGAATGAATGGTGATAAGTCAGACAATTTTTTTGTAGAAGGTATTACTTTGTGGAATGTCTTCTTTTTCCTAGATTAGCAGAATCAAAACAAACTGTATTTGGTCTTCCTGCTTTATGGTTTTCTTTTTATATCATTTCCTTTGAATTTTTTATGATTATAACCATTTCATGGATTCCTTGTTCAGACTGAAAGTGTTCAACAAGTAAAAGTAGTATTTAATTGAAAATCTTTCCTAATTCTTTTTTATAGATATGAAGATATCAGCTTATATTAAAAGTCATGCAAGTGAATATCATGCAGAAGTAATTTACATATAACTCTTGTTGAAAAGAACAAAGTTAAGTAACAATATGACTGCCATAACTTAAAGGAAAATTTGAGAACCAAAATTTTCAGGGTTCCCTCTCCTGCAGGATTTTTTTTTTTCTTTTGCATTGTGGTTGCTTTCAGATATAGTTTACTGCCCTCTGCTGGTCATGATCAGATTTCTTCCAAAATTTTCTCCATAAACTATATCTCCTGTTAACTCAAGTTTTAGTTATTAATGCCATGACTTTTATAGTTGGTATGCCTGTTTGGTTAATTTCATGCATAAATACATGAGCTGAATAATGTTTACAGCATATGTCTCCAATAATTATTTTTATGGCCTTTTTTTTTTTAAAGATTTATTTTATTTATTTTAAAGACAAAGTTACAGAGAGAGGTAGAGACAGAGAGAGAGGTCTTCAATCTGATGGTTCACTCCCCAGATGGCTGCAACAGCCGGAAATGCGCTGGTCTGAAGCCAGAAGTCAGGAGCTTCTTCCAGGTCTCCCACATGGGTGCAGGGGCCCAAGGACTTGGGCCATCTTCTACTGCTTTCCCAGGCCATAGCAGGGAGCTGGATCCGAAGAGGAGGAGCTGGGACTAGAACCAGTGCCCATATGGGATGCTGGCTCTTCAGGCCAGGGCTTTAACCCTCTGTGCCACAGCGCCAGCCCCTATTCTGGCTTTTAATGAGCTCTAGAAATACGTTCTCGGGTTATCAACTAAATTCTTTAGTTCTTAATGAACAAAAGTATTACTCCAAAATTTGTAAGTATATTTATACAAGTTAAGAATTCCTGTTATTGCAAAATAGGTGAATTGATAGTTTATAGTTAGTGTTGTTAGTAAGTTTAAATTTAGCTCCATCTCTTCTTTTTTTTTTTTTTTTTTTTGAAGATTTATTTATTTATTTGAAAGTCAGAGTTACAGAGGGAAACCTTCCATCCTCTGATTCACTCCCCAAACAGCTGCAATGGCTGGGGCTGGGCCAGGCCAAAGCCAGAAGCCAAGAGCTTCTGGGTCTCCCACATGGGTGCAGGAACCCAAGTACTTGGGCCATTCCCCAGTGCTTTCCCAGGTGTATTAGCAGGAAGCTGGATCAGAAGTAGAGCAGCCTGGACTTGAACATGAGCTCATATGGGATGCCAGCATGGTAGACAGTGGCTTAATCCACTGTGCTATAGCTCAGGTCACCTCCATTTATTCTTTATTCTTTAGTTAAATGAAAATGGTGTAAAATCTTTACAATTAAAAATATTATTAAGATAGATTATGTAAAACAGGGTAGTTTCCATGTCCTAGCAATATCTTATGCAAACAATGTTATTGGATTTTGTTTATAATAGATTTTGTAGCAAAGAATGTTTTACAGTGTTTAATCCTTCTCTTTTGTGAAAATAAGAAACATTTCCTATGGATACAGTGGTGCTATTTCTAACTCCAAATTCATAATGCCTATTCATGAAGGGTTTCTAAAATAAATTAGGTAGATTTTATTTATCAGCAATACACTGTATTACTGAACAGAATATAAGTAAGTGATGGGGCCAACACTGTGGTGTAGCAGGCAAAGCTGCCACCTGCAATGCCAGCATCCCATTTGGGCGTTGGTTTGAGTCCTGGCTGCTCCACTTCTGATTCAGCTCTCTGCTATTGCCTGGGAAATCAGAAGATGGTCCAAGTCCTTGGGCCCTGCACCCACATGGGAGACCCAGAGGAGGATCCAGGCTCCTGGTCCAGCTCCGGTCTTTGCGGCTATTTGGGGAGTGAACCAGTGGATGGACAACCTCTCTCTCTCTCTCTCCCTCTCTCTCTCTCTCTCTCTGCCTCTCTGTAACTCTGCCTTTCAAATAAATAAATAAATCTTAAAAAAAAGTAATTGAAATCAGAACTGGGCCACATAACCCAGGACATAGGGTCAGTACAACGTAATTGAAAAACTTACAAGATATAATTGATTGTTATTTGTATTGTAGTTGATTGAAAAGAATTGAATATTTAACTGCAGGGTTTTCTACTTCACAAACTCCCACTCCAGTTGATGATGAGTCCTGGGATTAAAGCTGAAAACATGCATCAAGTCTGTGGTATAGTTGTGATGCAGAGAAGAAAGTAATTTTGATTTTTGAGTTATTAACATAAGTGTGAAACCTGCCATTCTTGTATCTCTTGTCCTTCTGTTCTCACTCCTACCCTTTAAAAATGCCGTTACTGACTAGTTATGTGAAATGCTAAAGTTACAACAATGCAGTTCCTGATGCAAATAGTGTTTACTGGAAATATTAAAGCATTCCAAATGTCTTGTTTATTTCTAGTATATTCTTTAGGGGGTT